GGGGGCACTGTAACCTATGGGGACACAAAGAAAATTTTAGGATCATGGAGTAGTCCGTGAGACCGTATCATCTGAGCAAGTTGCCTTGAAACTGTTCTGGATGTTGGATCATCTGGGCCATGGTGTCATCGGGGACTTTTCAGGGGGTCTTGGCTGGTCAAACCTGATGTATTTTAATCTGTAACAAATCCACAGACTCTGACTTTCTGTGGAAACAAAAGCAGAGCCTCTTTTCCAAAACAACATATCCTTACATCCAAATTTTGAAGTCAAGGTACCTTTAAAATATACATTTTAGCATCACTCAACAGCTTTTACAATCAAATGTTTTTCTTCAGTTACGAATATCAAAGAGAACATAATCTAGATTCGCTGTGTGATAGCCATCTTTATGTGGCTTATTTTTTATATTACCTTTACTGTCTCTTTTAAGACTTTATTTTTAAAAACTATCTATTTGTTCATATAACTGCCTATATTCCTTTTTCTCTCTCTTTCAAGCCTACGTACATTTTTCATACATTGTAAACTATTCCACTTGAATCAGTCTTATTGTGAACCTATTCCTTTAAATTGTAGCATTCTAAAACTGAAAGGGTGCTGTGGATGCTGGTTTCACCCACTTCACCTTCCGAACATGGTGGTGGTACATTTTCCGCCAGCTCTGGGAGCCATCAACTCTCAGAAATAGTGCATCTATGCTTTTATCCAAGCAGCATGTAGCCCAGAAACCTCTTTCTTGTTTTGTACTAGCAAAGGCTAAATCCACCAGGCAGCGTAATGTGCCACTTGCAGACGCCTCATTCCCGCCATACTGAAGGTCAAACACACAGGCTGCTGATAACTTGAGAGAGATAACTACGAACTGTTTTTAGCTCCGTTTTAGAATCTTCTTTTCCTCAGGTTTTAGGTGGAAACTCTTGCCAACCCGTTGGGCACCATTTGTAGCTGGGGAATTTCTCTCCAGCTCCCGCCAAGCCCTGCCAGTCCCAGAGCCCACTTATAAAATAAACACACCAACTCTTATATTATTTAAACTGCTTGACCATTAGTTCAGGCCTAACATTGTCTAACTGTTACTCTTATGCTAAGCCCATTTCTGTTAATCTATATGTTACCACGTGTTCTGTGGCTTTACCTGTTGCCTCTATGTGATGCTCCCTGAACAGCAGCTGGTATCCTTTTCCCTGCCTTCCTCTCCTTTTCCTCTCTCCTCTCTGCTAGTCCCACCTATACTTCCTGCCTGGCTACTGGCCAATCAGTGTTTTATTTATACATAGTGATATCCACAGCAAGCAGGCTCTACAGGCAAGATGCAAATGTAAGCAGTTAATTTTTGAGTTGATCCCAGCAAACATCCCCGAGGGAGATGTGGAATGATGCAGCAAGGAGATGGAGGCCACTCAGTGATGCACAGCTAATTGCATGCCCACTGTGGACAGTGGGCGCTGGAAGTCTGAGAATAATGAGATGAGTAGTCTTAGGGTTGTTGTATCTGAGCAAGAGGGGAGGGTTTGTATCCACCACTGCTCATTTGTCACTGGTGTGCTTTGATCTGCTGCACATGGGCAAAACAGTTAATAGTGACCAGAGAAAACCATGAGGCAAAAGGGCTCCTAGTGTTACCAGTACTGGAGGTAAAAGCCAGGCTTCTTTGCCCAGACAAGATGACTGCCATAAACATCATGAGGGAAGAGAGACTTATTTGGGTCGTTGATTCAGTATGTGGTGAGGAGACTCTACTATTGTGTCCTTGGGGTGAGATTCATCATTTTGGGGAGAATGGTGGAGCAAACATGCTCACTTCATGGCACACAAGGAGAAAAGTGCAGGAAGAGGTCAGGAAAGGTATCTCCAAGGACTCCCCCTAAGTGGCATGATTTATTTTTAGTATGTGGAAACACTATTTGATTTTCATTTATTGATTTCCTCTGCTGTAATTTTATTCTGTTTACTTATTATTTATAAGTACTTTGGGAGTTTATATGGTTTCTATCTGTAGGAACATGCTGGCCATGAATATTGTTGCAGGTCTGACTTTCCTATTTGGATGCCTACTTTTTAAACTTTTGCCAAATGATTCAGGCAAATACTTCTAACACTATGCTAAATCAAAGCAGTGTGCAAGGTAATTTTTGTCTTGTTCCAAGTTCTAGAGGAAAATATTTTCCCTGTTGTGGACAATGTTGACACTGGACCTCTTATACATGACCTATATTGTGTCAAAATATACCCGACCTCACATCGGGTGGTGGTGGTGGTGCAAGCATTTAATTCCAGCACTCAGGGATGCAAAGGCAGGTGAATATCCATGAGTTCAAGGCCAGCCTGGTCTACAGAGTGAGTCCCAGGACAGCCAT